CATCAGTGTTCAAAATCATCCAAGGAATATATTAGATAACAATGTATTTCAATCTCCTAGGAGAATATCCATGAAAAAGCACACCTTGCATCTCCTTGGGTATTAACTAAGAGCTTACTTGTGTTACAAACAGCTTTACCCACTGAAGGATTGAAGACAGTCTCTCTGTACATCTGAGAGCAAGCATCAAGCCAACCTTTAATTAAGTCAGAAGCTCTGGTTCAAAAGGAGATGGAGCGGTTTTTGTTGTTGTTGTTTGTTTTTTAAAATAATCCTCACCCTAGGATATTTTTTCTATTGATCTTTTTGTTTTTATTTTATTTGTTTAATACATTTTTATTGATTTCAGAGAGGAAGGGAGAGGGAGAGAGAGATAGAAACATCAATGATGACAGAGAATCATCGATTGGCTGCCTTGATTGGAATCGAATCTGGGACCCTTTAGTCTGCAGGCCAACACTCTATCCACTGAGCCAAACCAGCTAGGGTCCATTGATTTTTAGAGAGAGTGGAAGGGAGGAAAGGAAGGCAGAGAGAGAAACATTGATGTAAGAGAGACACATCGATAGGTTGCCTCCTGTACACACCCCCACCGGGGCTGGGATAGGGCCGGCAGCCCAGGTACATGCCCTTGACTGGGAATCCAACCCGGACCTTTCGGTGCCTCAGGCTGACGCTCCAACCACTGAGCCAAACCAGCCAGAGCTGATGGAGCATTTCTTGAGATCCAGTAATGTCTCTGGAGACCTTTCTTCTCTTGGGTTTATGGGCTAGTGAGTCCCTGTCTTCCTCTCTTCTTCACAGGTGCCACCGCCCCATCTATGTTTCTCCTTACAAGGCTGAGAAAACGACCAACTTCAGTGACCTCAGGAAAAAGCCCAGGGCCCTTTTGTTTTTAAGGAATTACTGTCAATTGCTATGGGAAACAAATATGTGGTCAAAAGAAACTGACAAAAATGGGGAAGTAGCAATATGCACAAGTTTTCAGTAAGTTCTTTAAATGATTCCTCATACTTTACCGAAATGAGTTAGCAGATTGCAGCTAAACTAATTTTATCATAGTCCTACCTGGAACTTGCCTTTCACATGATAATTATTTATTGAGGACTTATAAATAGATTGCATGACATTATGGCTGTGTATTTGTGCCTTATGAGTTTGGTCAGTGTGAATTGTCTTTAAGATACTCCTTATCTTTTTTTTTTTTTTCAATCCTCACCCAAGGAGAGAAAGAGAGGGAGTTAGGGGCAAGAGAGAGAGAGAGAGGGAGAGAGAGAGAGAGAGAGAGAGAGAGAGAGAGAGGGAGAGAGAGAGAAAGAGAGAGAGAAACATTGGTATGAGAGAGAAACATTGGTGTGAGAGAGAAACATTGGTGTGAGAGAGAAACAACGATCTGTTGTCCCCCATATACACCCCCCACTGGGGACTGAACCTAGAAAATAGGTATGTGCCCTGAGACTGGGAATCAAGCCCATGACCCTTCAGTATATGGGCCGAAGCTCCAACCAACTGTGCCACAATAGCCAGGACTCCTTATCTTTAAATAATTGAGAAAATCCAGTTTATAAAAAAAAAGCTCCTTGAAACCTGTATGATCCTATTAATCAATGTCACCCCAATACATTTAATTAAAAAATAAAAATAAAAGCTGAGGAACAGTGGCGATTCTTCCAAGTCTTCTGCCAAAGAGGGCCTGTCAGAGCAGAGCTCCTAAACCACATTCCCGACTCATTCCCCCAGACTGTTACACAGCCCTGCCTGTTCTACCCTGATTTTGGCTGCACCAGAGGAGCCATAAAGTGCCATGGTCAAGAGAATAGACTTTAGAGCTAGGCTGCCTCAGTTTGAAGCATGACTCTCTTATTTATAAAGTCACCTAGAGCAAGCAGCCAATCTTTCTATGCCTAAGTTTCCTCAGATGAAGTAAGACCAGGGATCCTGGAAAACTAGGAAGTTTGTTAGTGAGGATAGAATTGTAGCAAGGGAAGTCAAAGACTTGGCGGGTCAGTTTCCTTTAGGCTCTGGATGTGGCCGATGAAACATTCTTCTCCTGTTATGCCAGAGGACACAACCTGATGGTTCTCTCCAGATCTGATGTCTGTCTCCATGGGTCAGGGGCTGGATGGACATGTCTGGTATTTGCCTTGGTGGCTATCTATATGTTAGAAAATAAAAATCTTACCCACATTCATGCAGCAGAGGTGGAATATAAGTAGCAGAGGTGGCAGTCTCATTCAGCTCTGATTCCAAAGCCAGTGAGCCTCACAGGACCCACCCTCCTGGTTTAAAAGAGAGACAACAGCAGAGCACAGTCGGGATCAGACAATGAGGGGAACATTTCCTGTGCTCCTGGGAAGTGCTTCACTCTGACATGCAAAATGTGTATCCAGAGCAGTCCTTGCCCTCAAGGAGGTTACAGACTCCTCATGTAGGTAAGAGTGACAAACATGGAAGTCCGTGGTACAAACTAGGTGGTCAGATACTAAAAAGGCCAGAAAAGAGAAAGATTACTGTGAGCTGGCATAGTCGGGGAAGGCTTTAAAGTTGATCAGAAACTTTAAGAGTGGGCTAAGTTGATATTGATAGAGGGGAAGGATAGTACATCCCCGTGGTTTAAAGATTATGAAGGAGAGGATCACTCCCAAGGAGAACAACATGACTGAATCAAGGTCCTGCAGGACAGGCAGAGTGGGGGCCTGATGATAACAGGCCTTCACAGCAGGAAGATCGTTTAGATAGGATGAGTTTGGTATACAGGGTGAGAATGTTTAGGAAGGCCAGCCAGGTGGCAACTGACTGCAGTAATCCAGATCTGAGATGCTGAGGTATCCATCAGAGGTGAAGTAGGTGAGAATGAATAGGAGGAACTGATATTTAGGAGGGAATATTATTAGGTCTTCATTTTCAAGAGCAGTGAAATAGAAGGATAGGTTCAAAATAATTCTTAGGCTTCTCCTCTGTCCACTGATGTTTACTCAGTTTCTCCCCCTTCCCTCCCTTCTCTTCCTTTGAACTGTCTTCCCCCAACCACATGTAAAACTAATAAGAAGTAACATAAGATCAAGTTTTTGTGATAAGCTCTTCTTGATGAGTTTATAATTGTTTATCTCAATGGGAAAAGTATGTCAAGAAACAAGGATCTTTAGTCTTGCTTTTAGGCTATCTCCTTTGAACTCTCTCTCTCTCTCTCTCTCTCTCTCTCTCTCTCTCTCTCTCTCTCTCTCTCTCTCTCTCTCTCTCTCTCTTCCTTTTGATATTTAGGTATCCAAAAGGCTATACTTGCTTAGTCTACAACAATTTCCTTCTTTTGTTAGTTACATGTTCACCTGAAAAATCTCGAGTTTCATTCTGTTCTTCCAAATAGTGTTTGATTCTTCTGCAAACACTAATAAAAATAACTTGAAGTTACTACTGGACCTTTCATTCAAAAAGATTGCAATATTCTTTTACACTGTGTACGGATGTTATTATATTATGAAGATACATTGCATTTCCTTAGTGCCTTTTATCTGAGGATCATAAGTACACAGCAAACGCTAATTAATTCTTACAACAACCTTATGAACTATAATTTTTATGTGTATATAGTAGATGAATCACTCCAAAAGACCAGCAAAACACAGCCTTTGTGGGAGAGTAGGCTTGGCACAACTTCATGTATAAACAACCCAGTCAAATAGTTTAGAGCAGGAAAGGCAACATCGTATTTTGTTTAACTAAAACCACCAATGGAATTTCAGTAAGAGAATATTATCCAAATAATGACTTATCTAGGTTTCCACCAACAACACTTGGGTTTTGCAATAAACACCCCCAGAAAAAAAGAAGGAAGTGTTCAAACCTATTAATAACTACACCCTCAATCTCATTGTCTCTCCCAAATAAAGTGCTTAGGCAACAAAACAGTCCTAGTTATTAAAAGTGTGCTATGGGGTGACTCATCAACACTTTGCTTCCTGCTTAGATTTTCTTTTTTTTTTTTTAAATATATTTTATTGATTTTTTACAGAGAGGAAGGGAGAGAGATAGACAGTTAGAAATATTGATGAGAGAGAAACATCGATCAGCTGCCTCCTGCACATCTCCTACTGGGGATATGCCTGCAACCCAGGTACATGCCCTTGACCGGAATCGAACCTGGGACCTTTCAGTCCGCAGGCCGACGCTCTATCCACTGAGCCAAACCGGTTTCGGCACCTGCTTAGATTTTCATGAGGGTCTCTCCTTGAGGTGTATAAGTCTTCATTATTTTCAGGTAGGCTGCTCTTTATCATAAAAACAAAAATGGACTTTATAATGGAAAATATTTACAAGAAAATGGACTCTATTTTTCTAAGTTGGCCTAGGGAACAATAGAGGATCTATACCAACAAATGCTTTCTTTGCTCAGGAAAATGGATTTAACACCTTTTCTTTTATTGGGAGCTTACCTTTATTCTAGCTTTTTCATATAGAAATTTTCAAATGTATACAAAAGTAGACAGAAGGATATAATAAAGACCCTATGTACCCATCACTTAACTCAGTTATCACCTTGGCTCCTCTTTTTTGAAAACAATACATTTTTATTGAATTCAGAGAAGAAGGGAGAGGGAGAGAGAGATATAGAAACATCAAATGAAAATCGTACACCTATGGATGAGGACAGTGGGGAGGGTAAGGGCAGAGGGTGGGGTGGGAACCAGGTGGAGGGGCGCTATGGGGGAAAAAAAGAGGAACAACTGTAATAATCTCAACAATAAAGATTTAATTAAAAAAAAAAAAGAAAGAAAGAAACATCAAATGATGAGAGAGAATCATTGATTGGCTGCTTCCGATTGAGCCTGTAACCTGGGCATGTGCCCTGACCGGGAATCAAACCTGACCTCCTGGATCATAGGTCAATGCTCAACCACTGAGCCACACCAGCTGGGGCCTGTTTTGTTTTTAATGGTGTCATATAATCTCTTATCTCTTGAAAGTTTTAGAGTTTACTTTTGTTTTTTTGTTTTTGGTTGTAGAGGTGAGCCAGCTGGGCTGCATGGGCTCAGGAAACAAGTTCAGAAGCAAAAGAAGAGCCATTGGAGTTTATGCGAGAGAAAGACAAAGGTATGGAGCCTGGGGGAAGGCCAAAGGGGAAGGGAAAGGTGCCTTTGGTGTGCTCCTGAGAGGGAAAGTGAGCCTGAAAGCTTTAGAGTTTTAAAAAGAGTTTTCTTCCTATATTATCTCTGTTTTCTCTGGGTCCCTTTGTTCTGTTCCTCAGGTTTAGGATGATTGGACAGGAACCAGACAGTTGAGTGGAGGCCACACACTATGTATTTTCCCCAGGGCTATTCTGCAGAATCAGTTACTACTTCGTCTGATTGCAGGTTTTCAAAAGCTTGTTGAAATTTCTTATCTGCTGCTCTTTCTTCTCCCATTCTCTTCATTTTTGGAGGGTTAAGAGGTGGTCTTAGGCAGGAGTGTAGATACATTCATTCATATGATCAATCTGCCATCTTCAACCAGACTCTATTGAGAAATGTAAAATCTCTCAAAAATATAATTTGTAGATTATTTGATAATTGTCATTAACAGGAATAGCAAGATTTATAGAAATAGTCTTTAAATCTCATTTTTAAGTTTTCTATATGAAACTATTATTAGCTCAGTTGGGCAGAGCATAGCAAAATAATGACAAGGTCATGAGTTTGATGTCCATCAAGGTCAGCTAGCCTTTTTTAATTTCAAAGACTCCATCTTCTCCCCTAAACTCACAGAAAAAGTCCAGAATGTTGTTTTGGGTAGCTATAAAAGGCAAGAAATAATCCAGCTTTCATTTTCCTGCTGCAACATGCTGCCACGGGAAGTTAAAGGAACAAAAACCACTGGGAAGTTAAAGGGAAATGGTGAGAAGAGTACAGACTTATCACTATAAACCAATTCACTTCTGGTGGGGGAAAAAATCAACCCATACTCCTTAGGTTTTTTCCTCAGAGGAAGACTTGTGGAGAAAATTTTATTGAGGAGTCCTCCCAGGGACAACACCTGAAGGGTGTGAGGGCAGTGGGAAAAGTTGATCTTTGATGCAGCGATACCAGAGGCCTCAGCTGTTCCACAAAAAAGTCTGGAGCTGGGGGTTCCTTCAAAATTATCCCACTTTAAGGCAAGAGGCCAGACTTTTATAACCTCACATTGACCACTTATTGGATGAGAACTATGCCCAGGAAGGGAGCGTGACATTCTGAGGACATGTCTTCGGTGAAGTGGCTCTCATCAGATGGACAACAATTTCTAGAGAGTTTTGAGGTTGGAACCAGCAGGCAATGTCCCTGGCAGTGGGGGTAGCAGACCAAGGCATTGAATATGCTATACAACCTACTGCCCCTGGCAAGTTCAAGAGCTGAAATATTGCTTCTTTCTTCCACATCTCCTAGATCCTTAGGGAGAGAAGAAAATTAGAAGTTTGATGGCAGAAGTGCAATTGTGTTTGGAGTGAGATGGAACAAAGGATCGGTCCAGTCCATAAAGCAAATAATTAGCTTCCAACAGACAGAATAATGGAATGACCTCTCCAGGGTTTGAGTTTTTTATTTCTGTCATTTTTGCATCTTGTGCATTTGAGTATATTTACTTTGGTTAAAAATCATGCTTGGTTTTAAATATAAAACCAAAGTTGCCATGTGTAGGTTTGTGGTGCAAAATTTTGGAAAAGCTCAAAGACAATACTTTCAGGAGAAAGAAAACACTCAGAATGTATTTCAAGTTCAGTTAACAAAGCACAGAAAAGTAATAGTAAAAAATTATCACATTTTTCACTATTTATATGTCTAGATCTCTCTCTCTCTCTCTCATAATATACTAGGGGACCAGTGCACGAATTCATGCACCTTGAAAGCAACTGTGGGCCTCGAAGCTGTGGTCGGCACAGGGGCAGGTCTTGGCCCATCCTCCATGCCTCTACCTGACCCCTCCCACTGTGGCCCCTGGTCCCGTCTGCCAGTAGCCCTGCTCCCACCACTGCTGCTCCCATGCGTTGAAGACACCAGTCCCACTTGCATCTGCTGAAGGCACAAAGTGATTGGGGCCGGCGCCAGCAGGGGTGCGAGCGGTGGCTGCCATCCCCGATCACCCCTCAGGAGCAGGGGGAGGTGGAAAAGCCCTGAGGGGTGATCAGGGCTGGCACCTGGCACCGGCAGTGGGTGTGAGCGCCAGGTGGGACTGTGGTGCACGGGAGCAAAGAATTTTCAGTAACCACCAGAGGTTTGTCCCGATGACAGTGACTGGTGCCCTGCCTTGGTCTGGTGCCCCCACTCACCTGCTCCACCATCCTGCCACGGCTGATGCCCGCCATGTTCTGTGCTCTGCAACCTGCTGCCGATGCCTACCATGTTCGCGTGCGCCCAATGGAGGTCAGCGCACATCATAGCGACCAGTTGTTTAGTTGTTCAGTTGTTCTGCCATTTGGTCTATTTGCATATTAGGGAGATATATATATATATATATATATATATATATATATATATATATATATATATATATTAGAGGTCTGGTGCATGAAAATTCATGCACTGGAGGGGGGTGTCCCTCCGCCCAGCCTGCCCCCTCTCACAGTCCAGGAGCTCTCAGGGGTGGGAGGCAACCCGGCGATCAGAGGAAGGCAATGCCCCATCACACCTCTGCTGCTGCCACTGCCGGCAGCACAAGCCTTGGCCGGCCCTGGTTACCTGAGCTTCAGGTGACCCTGGGTGGCTGGGCAGCGGCCATCCGAGGTTTGCTTGTGCCTCGGGCTGGCCTGCCCCAGTGGGGCTGAGGGGACTGGGCACTGCCATCTTGTGACTATGGGTGCTGCCATCTTTGAGGGTGGGGCAGTCAATTAGCATATTTCCCCCTCTTGGCTGTGGGTGCCGCCATCTTTGTGATGGCATGAGGGTCAATTAGCATATTCCCTCTTTATTAGATAGGATTATTTAAATATTTATAGCACTGATATATGGTACTACCTATACTTCAGGCTCTAAAATTGTATTTTGTTGTTGTCTCTTAAAAATATTTTGAGGAAAATAGGACATCAGCTAAAGTACTCCCATTTCCAGCCTTCCTTCCCTACCACCACTGCCACCTCTCTCTTCCCTTCTCCCCGGTGAGGGTTTATGTGCATTATTTTATCTCTAATAGTTACATTTTACTCCTTGGAAAAGGCAGAGACATTTAATAACATCTTTTGATTCAGTTCATTGATGCTAAAAAGTCAGAAATTCAATATTTTTTTAAGCAAAGATATATCAAAATCATTCAAGACAAATAGCTAAATGAAACAATAGTTTCAAATTTTAATTCTGTTCCCTCAAGCTTCAAATCTGTGGGCAGCAGAAGGTAAAGGAAAAGAGGGGAACTTCGCAGCCTAAAAACCTCTTTCATATTGTTGGGAAACTGAAGAACATTAGTCAACTAACCCACAACTTTAAAAGAGGCTGGGAACCAGTTTTTGTTAGGTAGCATCCTAATGGGTTCAACAGGACAAGATGTATTGTGAAGACAAGTGCTGGCTGAGTCACGGGTAGCAAACAACTGAGCCTGGATTCCGACAGGCAGCTGGAGTCAGCGTGGTCACGTGGTAAATGAGAACAAAGCCGTTTGGTTTACCTGTGTCACAATAAAGGCTGGAGGGATGGCTTCAGCATCATCGCAAAGGATCTTCAGGAAACTGGAAGTTATGCTCATCTGGTTCCTGCCTTTATGTCAACAAGGGCTCCATTGCCCATAAAATCTTAAAGCTATGAAATTCAAAAGGTACTTCAGGATATACCATGGAAAACAAGTCTTCCTTCCTCCCTTGTTCGCCAGCCCTCTCATTCCCTTACCAGAGACCGAAGTTTCCAGTTTCTGATGCATTTGCTTCTAAGATATTCTCAAGTGTAGGTTTTGAAAATCTTTACTTTGTTTCTATTTTTGCTGCCACTACCCACTGTCACTTAGAATCAATATAATAACTTTGAAAATAAATTTGGTCTTCTGAGTTTGTAGTAAAACTCTGCTGGCTCAGAATGTGTCCCCACCAATAAGTAGTACATGACTGTAATGTTGTAAGTCAATTACACCTCAATTTAAAAAATACAGAGAAAGCAGTAATGGAGGAACAGGTAAACAACAACAACAAAACATTTTTTAGAAGAGAATTGACATTATCAGAGACCTTCCTGTGTCACCACAGTGACTTTTTTGGGTCCTGCTTGGTTTTAGCCCTCATCAGGGACATTTGCAAATGCTTCTCCTAGTACTTTGACTACAGTCATGTCACTGTCCTTCCATGGACCGTGTCTGGCTTCTCTCTGTACAAACCTTAAGACACTACTCATTTTTTGTCACATCCCCCCCAAAACAAATCTACTTCACACGATACTGAGAAGGAAAGAAGAAGGTGAAGAATGTCACATAATTTTAAATTCCTAATGGGACATTTTTGAACCCTTCCCAAAATACTACCAGCTACAGGGTCTCTCATTCTCTTCTAACCCTTCATATACCCTCCTCTTAGAGTAATTTAGAGTAACTTCTCTAACTTATAATTGTCAATCTTCCCATAGAGTTTTGAAGCCTAGCCTCTCTAAGTGGGTTTAGCAAAGCAAGTCTGGCCCTGGGAAAGGATTCTCTTGTTCCCCTGCCCCTAATCATCTTATTTCTATTATTACATTCCCAATTCTCTTTTTTTTCCAGGGCAAATCTCTCTTATGAACTCTGGTTCTCTATACTTAGTTGCTACCTGCCTTCTCTGCCTGGATGTCTCATAGGCACTTTATTTTATCATGTCTCAAATCAAATTTGCATTCTTTATTTTCTTTCAAATTCTGTTCCTCCTTTGTATCTTTTATTTCAAAAATGGTACCACCATCCACCCAGGTACTCTAAGGCAGAAACCAGGAACCATCCTTGACCCTTCTCTCCCTTCTCACACCTTCCACACTGGTAAGCATTTTGAGGAGGAGCAACATCTCCCAAATTTTACTTCTATACTCTTGGTGTTTACCTACTATTTGGTGAATTAATTAAAGTGCTTGATAAGAGCTTTTTCATTGAAAGAGTTAAAAGAACTCATTGTGCTAAGTTTCTGGATTTGTAATGCAAAAACCAGATTTATTTAAAAAATGCAAAAACTTATTTGTACACACAACGATGAAGGAAAGCAGTCTTCTGTCAAATGGAGAACACTGAGATTTTTAAGTAGCTGATTTGGGACCTACTACAATGGGTGGACTTGCTTTGTTGCCTTCAGATGTTAGGTCCCTTTACCTGACACTTCAGCAGGCTTTTAAAATGTGTCTTCTGCTGGGCCTGCTTTTCTAATCCCCTATGATATACAAGCTGGTGCTCCAGTCAGCCTGTGTTCCTCTTCTGTTTATCCAACTACTTTTCTGGGAAGCGTGAGAGATTGGTTTCACTGTTGGCAGAAGCCACAGTCTTCAGGTCTAACAGGAGCTTGTTTAACTTGTTCTCCAAACTCCAGAGCAGACTCTAGAGCTTGTATGCCAGCTCCCCAGTTATTTATATCAAGCCTGTTAATCACTGGAAGGCAGGTTTTACCTCCACGTTTTCTTAGAGGTCTTAGGAACTGTTTGACATGTTCCCTTTGCAAAAAGAGGTGTCTTCATTGTAATAACAGGCCGTAGATAAAGAAGCATCACTGACACGCAGCTCATAAGATGCCACGTGATTAATAGCAACCCTACAATCTTCAGAGATGAGGCCCTGGACCTGGGATGCCATCTCAGCTTTGGGGAAAACTAACAGTGCTATTTTTTCTAACAGCTTGACTTTTTATACAGTACTTTAATATACCTTACATATTTACAACACTTTGCAACACATTTTCACATTCATAAACAGAGGAGAAGGAGAAATTATACTATTTTAGAGGTATGGAAATGGAGATTAAGTAATTTGCCACCAGGCCATATGATTAGCAAAAGACGATGGGTAGGAGTAGGCAGGGGGAAGTGATCTCAGATTCAAGCCCTTTGCCTTTTGACCCAAGGCTTATTCTAATACTCTAAACCAGCGGTTCTCAACCTGTGAGTCGCGACCCCTTTGGGGGGTCAAACGACCCTTTCACAGGGGTCGCCTAAGACCATCAGAAAACACATATATAATTACATATTGTTTTTGTGATTAATCACTATGCTTTAATTATGTTCAATTTGTAACAATGAAATTGGGGGTCACCACAACATAAGGAACTGTATTAAAGGGTCGCGGCATTAGGAAGGTTGAGAACCACTGCTCTAAACCATCTTTTTCATAAGTGCATTTCCTAATAGAGAATTGCAAATAAGTAATGGAAATTATTTTATGAATAGAATCGCACAAAAAAATCTGTAATTATGCAAGCATCTAGAATATTGAACCTAGTGATCTCCCCAATATTAATACATCAAACCTTTTTATTTTTTGATTTAAGGCTTGTTTCATTTTTGGAACACTTGATATGTTTTTTAAAATCACGCCGAAACCGGTTTGGCTCAGTGGATAGAGCGTCGGCCTGCGGACTGAAGGGTCCTGGGTTCGATTCCGGTCAAGGGCATGTACCTTGGTTGCGGGCATATCCCCAGTGGGAGATGTGCAGGAGGCAGCTGATCGATGTTTCTCTCTCATCGATGTTTCTAACTCTCTATCCCTCTCCCTTCCTCTCTGTAAAAAATCAATAAAATATATTAAAAAAAATAAAATAAAATAAAATCATGACTACGTAGTTCTGAAAGATGCTCCTATTAACTATTTTGATAACTTGAAGTTCGAAACTATCTTGATCACCTAGTGCCCTCTA